GGCGGCCCCGCGGCGGGGCGAGGGGGAGAGGGGAGGTGGTTGCAGGGAAAATCGCGGGCTGGAATGTCTTCCCCACCAACCACTCCCGCTATATGCAGGGTACCGACGGGCCGGGGGGGGCGCGTTTTTGCGGGTTGGGGTCAATTTTTTGCCGCGCCCCTCAAAATTTTTTGCGGCCGACCGCGTTTGCGTGGTTTGTTCGGGCAGGATTTTTCGCGCTGACCCGCATTTTGGCAGTTATTTTACGGGTCGGGGCATTTTGCAGGGTCTGCTAGAGTTGCTCTAAGGCCTTGTTCAGTGCATGGCTACGGCTTTATTTGGCATGGATAGGATATGAATGGCTTTGTTCAGCCACGCGGCCTGGCGATGAGTAGAGAACGGAAGAGCGTCTCCGGTTGCAATAATACATACAGGATATCAATCTGCATTGCTGTGATGCAATGCAACCACACTTCTGCTGGACTGTGCTGATAATAGCATGGTGGTCTACTCCCTCCATCTCTTCTTATAGGCTGTTAGTTCTTCAGGCTTCCTGAATGCTTCAGGTGCAATGTTCGTCGTTGGCCGTACGACCAGCTTTATTTATTCTCTTCACCTAATCGATGGATTTTCAGCGCAAATGAAAGAAAGAAGAATGTTTGGCATAAAATTGTTGGCTCTTGCAGGAGGGGGTTCTGCCCCATGATAAGAGACGGAGGGACCACCTAAGAAAACCACACTGATTACACAGCAAAAACTAAGCAAGCGCAAGGTTCAGCGCATTTCTCGATGGACAGGGTTGCTCAAAAAGTTTCACCAACATATTCTACTACCTCCCTCTCAGTTTATAGGGCGTGCACGTACCCCTAAATCGTCAATTTGACCAACCTAATACAAGTCATATATTACAAAAATATACCAATATAAACTTCAGATGTTCTATTTTTTAAAGATTTAATTTTTTTGTTATATAGTATATATTAGGATGATAAAATTGGCAACCTAGATATACGCATAGGACTTGTAAACTGAGACGGAGGGAGTAACAAACATTTCACCGACTGACATGACCGATTACAGTAGCTGAGACACTTCCCATAGTCTACAAATGATCCCAGCAACCACATTGTAACTAATAAAATCACCTTACACACCAACAGTCAAACAAATTTACGCAACCATATATCTAGGATTATCGTCAACTTACAGGCTTTCCCTATCACTAAGATAAACCTTTTCTTACAGCAGCAGTTTTCCCCAGAGCATCAAGGGTGAGGAGAGGGACAAAGAACCAGGACCTGAGTACTGCCACGCTGGACAGCAGGAAGGCCCCTCACTTGATGTACTGGGACATCCATTTGAAACCTTCGCCATAGCCCATCTTGCGGACAATGCTGCACATGAACACCTCCAGGGGCCGCACATTTGAATCCGACAAGTTCACGTTGCCCTTCCCAGTGGTGAAGTTGCTCAGCCCAAGGTAGTAGCGCAGCTCCTCCTCGGATGCTGCGATAGGTATGTCAATCTTGTTACCCAGTACGAGGAAAGGCACATTCGCTAGGGAGTCATCTGAAAGAAGGCCGTCCAGCTCCTTCTTCGACTCTGCAAACCGTTCCTTGTCAGCAGCGTCCACCAAGTAAACAACCGCATCCACCTATCAGACAGAATAGGAATTAAAAGAAGCCAGCAGAATCATATGACAACATAAAAGTAAACTGCCCAAATTAATAATTCACAGTTCACTACTAATGGTTACGGCATGGGGCAGTATCCAACTAAGCGAAAATGTGGCAGCAGACATTATCTCTTTGGATTAAACTCTGAGTGATATACAGTCATTTTCATTCTGCTTCTACAATACATGAAAAACTGAACCCACTCCACTGCACTTCAAATGTTATTTTCACGACAAGATAATAGAAGGGTTCACAAGTTGTATTTGTGAACATATAGTCATACAAGTAGGATTTCCTTGTGATATATGCAGATATGTGAACAGTGGAGCAGCACAAAAGATGGCACTGGTGACATGTGAAGTTGTTCATTATGGACTACTTCGGGGTAAAATGGTGTTCTTCTTTTTCACCTCTGCTATCCAGATGGATAGAAGAGTATGCATTCCTGGACACTTTTGCGTGTTAATTATTTATGGGGAAAGAAAAAGAAACTGAAAATGACAAAGAGGTAGTACTAAAGCCCATCCAAACTATTAACTAGTTCATGACAGAACTGCCAAGTCCTAACAGCCACATACCAAGGAGGCAAGGACAGATAAGCTGCACATATTTACTAAGAGCAGCACATACCAAGGACAGAAGAGCTTTAGCTGACTAACTACTTTCCATGTGTACTCACTCCTATTTAACAAGCAAATATAAAAAGTACACGGCTTGTGATCATAACAAAGCATGCATTACACTCTTATTGTAATGTTTCAATCAAACTTCCAACATTGTCACATTATGAAAATTCCCTCAGAGCAATCAAATAGTAGAAGTTAGATCGAAAATTGAAGCACCAATTCCCTGTAGATATCAATACTCATATCAGGTGCATTGTAGACCCTGTATCCATATACACTGGTGTTTGCACAGAAGATACAATCAGCACATAAATAATTTAAGTAAGAATAGGGTCAAGGCACAGAACCAACAACACAAAAGAAATATATGAACCTTCTGATGAACATTACAGAAGGCTACTCAAATAAATTATTAGTCATGCATCTCACTTGATCACTTCCACTTTACAGACTGTGATTAGTGCAGTAAATGCATTATGCATTACGGCTGAACATTCAGAGCGCATTGTCCATACATGTAAGCCTTGAAGAGGATTACATATTTACAATGTAACTACTCTATTCCATCTATTTAAAATCTCGATGAGCAAGCATGGCAACAGTGTAACAGAAAAATTACCGGCAAGAAACAAAGCTACAAGCACCAGAAATGCATAGATCTCAGCTTTGTTGCTGGTTGATATATTATCCCGTTAACAATCCTAGTCGATCACCGTCAAAAAAACAATCCCAGTCGATTAACATCACAACACAAGAAATTTCTAGATCTATAAGATGCCAAGTTCACAGGAAATAGAACACAATTCATACGGCTAAGTCTTCAACAGTTATGCATGAGCACATCTGAGACCATAGTAAACTAGTTGTGCCTAAATTTACAGGTATTACAAAGAATGAAAGATAAGAGAGCAATGTGTTCTCGAAGAAAAATATAACAGAATTTGGAAAGGTGTTGTTTGAGCCCAGAAACCAGTTAAAAACCTGTGAACAGATACATGGTCAAGTTTCTTTTCCAGGAGAACTGTCCTAAAGAAAAATGGAATAATGATCAAACCTTATTTGATCGCTTAACTTCATGTCTTAACGTACGTAAGGCATGTAATTTTGGAAGAACCTTTGGTGAACACAGGTTAAATATGCCTAGAAGACATGATAGATAGCTGAATACTCCCAAGGAGAGGTCAATATAATGTACAATCCCGTTGACTGGAGCAAGACTATCAAAATACTAGACTAGTACAGTCGGTTGTCTCATTCCCATCCCCAGTTGTAGTTTTTTATGTAAACCCCACAAGTGATGTCAACTCACTAAACAGTTTTTATGGAAGAACAGGAACAAGTGCCACTTCCAAACAATAGGGGAACACCGCAGTCTTTAGATAGTTAATTGGTAAAGTGGAAAGTATGAGTCATGCATTCAGAATGTTCTCCAAACACAGTGATACATTTAACTTGGGCAATTGTCCCTAAAAAATACTGGACTTATGTGCTTCCTTGATGATAGCAGCAAGCCAGTAACTCGGGAATAAACAAGAATGGACTATAAACATCTATAGTTTGGTGAATGTGGTATATCCGGTGGACCTTCTGCTAGGAAACAGATTCTCACCCTTTGATTCATATGGCTGTTGCAAAGTGATGTTAGGAAGCATTGTTAAGTTTTAAGTTGGCCAGGAAAATCCAGGCAACTCTCTGTCCATCCATCATCTGAATAAGATTAGCACTAATACCAATTTTGCTCAAAGTGGCTGCAGTTACACCCATTATTATGTTTTCTGCAGAGACCTACATAGCTACACCGCCCCATTCAAATTTGGCCTACTGTCGATCACAGTGGCCTGAATACAAGAGCTAGAATATCTTGTGTCATTTTCAGAATAACATAGTGAACAGTTGGCTACAATCACAAACCAGCATTGGCAGCATTCCCGGTTGCTAAATGGAGGTGTCTCCACATTATGAGATTCAGTAACAGAATAAGATGTTAAATTATATTGATAAATTATGCTTGGTCTACCGACTAGATGCCCCCAGTGCCTTACCTACTCAGATGCATGCCTCTGATCCTAAATACTCCTGCTTATGTCTCTAACCTCCATTTCTTGGTTTCATTCAGTACAAGAGCTACTTCTTGCAGAGATCTCAAAGCAATTGCACAAAGTAGAATTATTAACAATACGTCGAGATCTCAAAGCAATTGCACAAAGTAGAATTATCAACCATACGTCGAGATCTCATAGCAATTGCACACAGACAAAGAAGCAGACAGCAAGAAGAGGCAAAGGTAACCTTGGCGTAGTAGTCCTTCCAGACTCGGCGGGCGATCTGGTGGCCACCGAGATCGAAGGTCTTGAACTTGATCTGGCCGATGCTCAGCTCCTCCGACGTCGGGTACTGCGTCGGCTGGTGCTGCACCAGCCGCTGCCATCCAATCGGAAGCACAAACACACCAGTCAGACGAAATCAAGAATCGCCGGCAAGCAGAAAGGACGACAAGATCGGATTCCGCTTCCAGGGAAGAGAGGGGAAGGCTACAGATCGAAATAACAGAAGAGAGACCTCGTCCTTGAGCATGTGGAGGAGGGTGGTCTTGCCGGCGTTGTCCAGGCCGAGGAAGAGGATCTTGGCCTCCTTCTGCCACAGCCCCAGCGACGCCAGCACCCCGTAGAACCAATCCACCAGAAACATCTCTTCTCGTCCGCCTCCTCTTCTCCGGCGATCTCTTCCTCTTCCTCCTCACACCGAACGACCGGTCGACGCTCGCCTCTTCCTCTCTCTCTCTCTCTCTCCCCCTCGCTGGCTCGCTGGCTGGCTTTGCGTCGGAGAGAAAGGATTTTATCCCTCGCTCCTCTCCTTCGTGAGGCTATGTGTTCTGTTCTAGATTCTTCGCTGGCGCGGCGTGCACTTGCTTCTAGAAACTATGCCAAAAGCGAGTAAAATGAGGTGATTTTATAATTAACCCCTCCAAACTTAAAGCATCACATCACCTCGTCTCTTAAGCCAATTTTTTTTACCTCATGATTGTCCGTGCGTTGCAACGGGGATATAGATTCTATGAAATTAAATAGTTGATTCCTATTAACACATTTCTTTCAACATGCACACATATGAAGAGACGAATCCACCATAGGGGCAAGCTGGGGCAGTCGCCGCGGGTCACTAACGGCAGAGAGAGTACCCCACCCCTTGCTTCAAATCGCCATGGACAACCCCCTCAGGTCGCTATTGCTGCAGGTTTGTGTTCTACGTCAAATAGTTACGCGAGAAGGAAGAAGGAACAGACCAAATGAGCTTAAGTGAGCCCATATAGTGGTATATACACATTGCAGCCCAGCCCAATAGATGGAGAGCTTCACCGAGCGGCGTGGAGAAACCGATCGATCCAAATCGGTTGATCTCAATTACCCATTGGGCTATTGCCAATCCCTAGCCACAGCTTACTACGCGACATGGCTCCTCATTGCTGGCTGCTCTTGCTTGATGCTCATCGTCGTCTGCATGTGTCAAGCCTTCGTCGGGGATGGACTTACAGGAGGAGAATGGATTGCAGACGAGGAGGAAGCGGCAACAACACTTTCGGCAGCGGGGGCACGAGATGGCACCTGCACCTCAAGCATGCACGCGACATCGCCAATGATCAACAACTACGTGTCTTTCTCTCCCATGCTCCTCCTCTATACATTTGAATGGTTACAGTGCAAAAAAAATTACAAAATACTCAAATGTAGTATTGAAAGTGCATTTATACCTAAATGGTGTTTTGGTGTGATGAAAATATGGTTAGTGACTAATGACGGTTACTAAGTTTATCTCATGTCCTTGGTCCCTCAGAGGTTATTTTAAGGAGATGGTTGACCCCCCTCCCCCTTCAAAAGGGGAAAAGGCGTGGTTCTTCGATGACTAAAGTTTTGTTTTGTTGTCCTTGAGTCATAGGATCACCATATTATTAAGAGGGGTCAAGATGCTTGAATGAAAAGTGTGGGAACATGTGAAACATATACACTAGCCCTCCCAAGTTCATCCACCCCAAAAAATGCCATACTTTCCCTCAAGATGTGCCCTTTGACTGCATACCCGATGCACCACGAGGTCCAAGGAATGCTCCCTGGATACCCCATGCACACAGGCCTCCCGACCTTCATGCACATGGGGCCAGGGTCTTAAACCCTCCAGACACCCTGTGGACACGAGGTCTGACCACTTGCACACGGTGTAGAGTGGTTCAGTCTCTAGATACCCCGTGCACATAGGGTACCCAGGCAGCCAAAGACTACCTCTTGAGGAGGGTATAACCCCCCCCCCCTCTCATACCTCCAACTCCAACTCTAGTGTCTTGTGAGCCTTCCACAATTGGTACACCTTGATTTGCTCAATACTCTCAATTCCTCAACACAAACTTGTTGATACTTTGGGATTTGAGAGCAAGACCCGTTATACACTTCGACAAAACCAATTAATGTCCCCCGCTTGATTTCTTTATCCACACTCATTACTCTTGGAGATTGGGCTCCTAGTTGATTAGGAGTCAAGGCACATTAGCTTCCTTTGTGTGTGGTGTGCTCCGAGAAGTTTGTAATGGTGTGGTGGTCGCCTTCAAGACCAACCCCGAGTGACTTGACACTCATCCGTTGGGAGTGACTCAAAGGGAGAATAAGGTGAGCCACTTGATGGCACTCCGGAGCTTTGGTTTCGGCACCTCTCCAATTACTCCTATAAAGGATGTTGGAGTACCCGCATTATGGGAGCCTCCGCAAGCGAGAGTGCCCTATGTGATGTTTGTTTGTGCGGTGGCGTTTGGCAAGCACCTCCATGGGGTTGTCTGCACGTCCGGTCTCCTCAGAGGGCGCGCACCCGGGTGAATCGCCTCACGGGTCCGTGTGGTCTAGGCCACCGTCATGTAGTTTTCTTGGTGGTGTCTATGTGTGCCGTCTCGCTCATTGCCCCACGCGCGACGGCCCAGCTAGACCTGCCTTCAGCTCTTTGCCCCCCATCAGGCTAAGTCGTCCATGCCTGGTGGCCTCGTTCGTTCGTGGCTCCTTGGCGCTCTCGCGACCTTTAAATCTCCATCGACGCGTCGCACCCGCCCTATTTTCCTCACAGGTCCATGGGCGCGGTTGGGACCACCTCCCTATGTTGGATTTACGTCACGCCCGCATGTGTCATCTTGTGCGCTGCTCCATGCACGAGGGTGAGCCAAGACAGGTTGTCAGCATCGTTGGTCCTCGGCCGATCTCGTTCGCTCGCGCAGGACGACTGCCCCGGGTGTCGAGCCTACCCATCTATGTGTGTGCGCTCCAAATGGCTCAAGGTGTTGGCTAGGAGTTGGGTGGTCGGGGGGTTGTTTAGCTGTTGGGTGTTGGCCGGTTTTCGTCCGCCTCCCTGCCCCTATCGCCTATTGAGAAACGCAGTAGAAAAACAAAAAATCCGCGCCTACTATCACCCAAGATCAATATGAAGATGCATAACAAGTTGGGATCACGATCGTTACCGTCACCGAGTTGTAGCGGAAGAAGAACATGTCGGTGTAGATCGTACTTGGAGTCCCTCGAACCGTAGATGAACGACCCCTCGTACCGACCATGCACTACTGCAGGATGCTGCTAACGCGACACTACGATAAGAGACCCTTCGACGAAACTGTGTGCGATGCAATAATCACAAACGGTGGTGTAAAAAACCGTCAAAAAAGGTGCAAAATGTTTGCGATCACGGATGCATCAAACACGGTCCAGATTTTAATTGCGCGTGCGATGCAGGGCATACAGTTCAGTTCAATGAACCGTTTGCGATGAGGAGGAATAAAAGAAACGGGCATCCAGATGAAGGTGTGTGCGATACACAGCATACGGTTCACTCGGATGAGTTGTTTGTGATTAGGCAACACAAAAGAAACGGTCAGCCAGATGAAGGTGTGTGCGATATACGACATATAGTTCACTCGAATGAACTGTTTTCGATTAGGCAACACAACAGAAAGGTTCAACCAGATCAAGATGTGTGCAATGGAGGGCATACAGTTCATTCCGATAAACTGTTTGTGTTGAGCCAAGAGAACAGAAATGTTTCACATAAACAAGATGTGTGTAATACGCGGCAAACATCCAATTACATAGGTGGCTAATACACACATGACATTTCCACACACCAAAGTAAACTATTAAATGCATAATTAACTAGGATAAATGATCATCTAATTATCATCTACTTCTTGTGCTAGCTCGATGTTTCTTCTATGTTAAGTTTCCATTAATTGATGGCATTTTATGAACACGCCACCGTTTCCCGCCATTTTCTCACCGGTTTCCCGCCACCCAGTGATATTGTGCATAAACCTAGGCGACGCGTGATGCACGGAGGCAACAAGCGCAGCCTGTAGCACATCCACCTTTTCCAAGCATGCCAACCCACTAAAGTGCCGCCTCTGCCATGAACCTCGTCGACGAGGAAAACAAGCAGGCGTCACGGCCCGTCGAGGCCGAGGAGCTCCCCGGCAACACGATGGATGACGCCGTGATGCGCGTCATTGCCAGGGTTGAGCAGACCCTTGGCGCATGGCGCTTCAGTGCCGCGGATCTAGATAGGCATGTCAGCACCGACAGGCTGCAGCTCGCCGCACAACATGATCGATGGCGCGCCGCAGAGCAAGCTAGGCATGTCCCCGCCGATAGGCTGCGGCTCGCCGCACGGCGAGACCGTTGGGGCGCCGTAGAGCGAGAGGCGCGGCGTGCTGCACAGCAAGAGCAGATCCATCGACGCTTGCCTGTTGTCGACACGGCGTCGCAGCTGGGTACACGTCCCGTCAGTACCCCCACTCCTTGCCAGGAGTGGGCAGAGGCCCTCTACGCCGTACTTGCACCAGAGGTAGGCCGCGCCGTACTTGCACCGGACGCCCGCCACACCGTTCGCATGGGTCGCACCGTTCGCCTTGTCCGCGGCCCGCTTGATGCCAACGTGCTGGTTGGTAGGCTCGACCGCCTCCTTGGCCCAAGTGTCCACCCGGGCGCAGTAGAGGAACATGGCCGTCGCATACTTGAGTTGGTGATCTACGATGAAATAGCCAACTTGGAGCTCGAGATCGCACTCCAGATGTACCGCGAGTGTGTCGACCGCTTGGACGAATGCCTGCACGAGTTTAGGCAGAGCCAAGAGCTACCATAGGCAAGGGCTGCTGGTCATGGTCTCATGGACGCGTTTTATTTTGTTGAGTCGTTTCGACGTGAATAGCTATGTTTTCACAACAATCATAGTATTGCTCTGTTTGTTGCTTTGTTCATGTGTGTACTCTATTTTCCGTTCTTATATGTTCTGTTTCAATGTGTGTATATACGCTTTCCATTCTATATATGTGGATGATAACAGCTAGATTCATATGAAATGACTTTAAAAGGTCAAATGACTGTCAGGACCCCGACTCGATGTCACATCGATCTAGCCGGTAACACCTCATATCACTTTGCGGCCTCACGCACGGTATCCCCACGGGTGTCGTCTTACCTTTTCCCGGGACCGTTTGCGCCTTTTGGCTCACGTATATGATAGTGTCGCTAGCATCCATATGATAAGGAGCCCGGGCTGACATGACTAGTCGTAAACCCAAAGTGGCACAGACTTACAGGGACAGGCATCCATGACCCAGCTTCGAACGTGTCGGTCATCAGCAAGTGGGTCCGGGCTGTAGCACTGGGCTA